TCTCTGAAAATATGTAAACTACCATAACCTTCTAGTGATTGTGTTTGTTACCAATATGATCCATTCTTCTCTGTCCTTTGTATTTTTTTGCCTCGAATTTGGTTTTGTACGATTTTAATTCTGCAGCTGCTGTTTTCTCTTTTTCTCCTTTACATCTTCTGCCAATCCTTAATTTTCAGCTTTTCTATATCAATCATGTTTGAATGAATCTAAGAATTTCTCTTTTACAACAGGGAAGTTTAAATAATTTACAATAGTTATTATTATAGTTGACCTGACTTATAGCATAAGTAGATCCTGTCTGTCCCCTGCTCAAAACTCTGCAATGGTTCCTGTTTCATCCAGAATGAAAGTCAAAATCCTCACCATAGTTTCTAAGACCACCCATGCATGCCCTGTATCACTACTGGCCCTCCACATCCCCAACCTCATCTCCTGTTACTTTCCTGCTTGCACTTATTCTACTTCAGCCACATCTTTTCCTTGTTATTCCTTGAATACACCAGACACGCTAGCCTTAGAATCTCTCTTGTTCCCTTGGTCTGAAATGTTATTTCCTAGAAAGTGGCCGACTTTCTTACCTCTTTCAAGTTTTGCCTGAAATATCAGCACCCTTAATGAGGCCCACCCTGACCTTCTTTTTAATACAGTATTGTAATCTCCCATCTCCCCCCAGGTCACCTTCTGGCTCTCCCACTCTTCCTTATCCTGTTTTCCTTCTAAACATCTATTATCTTTTAATAATATTAAAATCTACTGTCTCTGTTAAAAGAACGTGAGTGCCAGGACAGCAAAAGTTTTTGTTTAGTTTACTAATACATCTTCAAAGTGGCTAGAGTGATGCCTGGAACATAGTAGGTACTCATTAATGTTTACAGAATTAAGAAATAAAAAAATTCATTTTTAAATGCTTATACTTTATAATTTTAAGTAAATTTTATGATTTTTGAGGCTAGAAGTCATTACTTATGTTGCTACTACCTTCCAGTAGAAACTAATAGTTGCTAATCAGCTTTTTCTGAAAAACAAATTATTGCTGTACCTATTCTACATTTATGAACTTACATGGCAACAGCTTGGGCATAGGATTCTACTTCAGAATAATAATGACAGGTAACTCAACATATGTATAGGTGGCTACTGAAGGAACTAGCACATGAAATATGAATGGTCAAGAGTGGATAAGCTGTTACTTTTGAAAATCAATAGAAGCTACATTTATCAATATTGACTGGACTTTTAAGACTGTTAAGACTTGGCTAGCTGTAAGGGCTAAGGAGGGTACTGCAGGCAAGAAGAGTGACAGCAAAAGCACAAAAGTGAGAGGAACCTCTTATGTAGATGGTGTGGGTTAGTATCTCCTTTGATCTACACTAGCCCCTTGGATGGTGCGGGGGAGATACTCAACCATCTTTTTGGGGCAGCAAGATGAGAGGGAAAGCAGCTGCCACAACTAATAAGAGTTCTTAGTCAATGCATGAAGATAATTTACCCTTCTGACTTTCAGCCCGCAAATTTCCTATATATAAAGAGGTGTGAATTAAAGAATACTCATTTATTTACATGGACTACACTGACTACAACCATGTGTGAGCAGGAGACATCCTAAATTGCTAATACCCAAGAGGTTCTCTGGATCAGAGGCTCACTATAATCTCTGTAATTTATGAACCTCTTGAGATTTCATCTTTTTTCTACTGTGATAAGTGTACCCAAACTTCCTGTTCTGTCTTTCATTACTACTGTTTATTACAGTTTCATGTGAATTTTCTCACCATAATATTATAAAATAGAAGGCAGTTTGTAACCAGAGCAACAGGGAGTCATACCTACCCATCTCCCTGTGTGTGGGACCCCTATTCCGACCCGTGTCTCCAACTGTTCTCCTGGCTCATCTCACTCTCATGGTTGAAAAAAATGTAAACACTGGACAGTTTCCTACTCATTATCTTAATTTAAAGTTTTACTGCATTCTATGTCTACTAACTAAACCTTATCTAGTTCCCAACCCCTATATAATACATTTAATTTCTGATCGATACTATCTGACAGTTTACAAAGTAGGCAAAATTGAAAGACTAAAAGCAGGTTAAGCAATTACAGAACTATGGAAGCAAAGGAGAGGGAAGATCAAAAAAGTAAATTTGGGGTTTTAAGTCAAAGTAAACAGATGCAGTGATAATATTAACAAAAGTAAGAAAGTTAGAGTAGAGAAAGATTTTGAGAGTAATATGATTAATTCAGTTCTGGACATGTTAAAGTGAAATGACGGCAGGAAGGCCATGTGGCAATATTCAGAAGGCTGGAGAAATAAAATTGTAACTTGATAGAGAGCAGATTATAACCACATATTTTAGGGTCTTTCACATACAAGGTGATATTTTAAATATAGATAGGACTGGCAGAGAAGAACCTTTTAATATTATGTCCTGAGAAGAACACAATATCATTTCTGTAATATTCTTGCTAAATAGACATAATTGAATTTAGTGATGAGGAAACCAGCAAAAGCCAAATTGAAGGGCATTCTACAAAACAATTGGCCAGTTCTCTTCAAAAATGTCAAGGTTATGATAGACAAAGAAGACTGGGGAAATATCACAGACTAGAGTGAACTAGACAGGGTACTCAGGGTATTAAACTGGATCTTGTACAGAAAAGGGACATTAGCGGAACAATTGGTGAAATCTGAATAAAGCCCATAGTATTGTATAAATGTTAATTTCCTGATTTTGATAATTATACATGTCATGTAAGATGTTAACACGGGGAAGCTGGTTAAAAGGTATACAGTGCTTCTTTGTACTATTTTTGTGGTTTTTTTTTGCAATTTAAAATAGAAAGTTCAACGATTAAAAAAATTTTTAAAAAGGAGATATACACACAAAGGGCAATGTATCTGTGGATTCAGTAAGGAACTACCATTTGCTAAAGTACTAAATTGGCCTCAGAGAATTATGTCTCTGTGTGCTAATTAGACAAACTGACTAAAATGACTAGGTTCTTAGTCTCTAAACTAGACTCTTTAGGATGGTATAGAAGTAAAGCAACTGACAGGGAGTTCAGAAGAACAGCTCAAAATCAACATTATATTCTTCATAATTAATACAGAATTAGAATGGCTTTAATTCATTTACGTAATTCTCAATATGACCCATTGAAGGAGGGAGGCTATTTGTTACTTTCCAGATGAAGAACATCTAGCTCAGAGAAGTAAAGTGACTCAGACTCACACCATTAGTAAAGGACAGTTAGGAAACAAGAATCAGCGTGTTGATTCCAAGCCCAAAGCTCTTTCTGTCACACTAAATGCCTTGATTCTTATGTGATAGAAATGATAAATATATCTACAGTTACATGCCAACTCCCATCTACAGACACACAGACACACACAGACACACACACACACACACACACACACACACAGAGTTGTAGATTACGAGTCAGAAAACCTGGCTTCGTAAGATCTGGCTTTATCAAGAAATGGTAATGGGACCTAGAACAAGTGATTTTAAGCTTCCAGCTTCCATATCTTCAATATCAAACAAGAAGATTGGGCTAGAATAAATGTAAAGTCTATTCCACAATTCTAATCCTGTAATGTGTTTGTTTGCTGTGGTAAATGTGCAGTTCTGGATGGCTATTTCACTAATTTTGCAGCTATGTTCTCAAATAATATTTAGTATCTAACCCAGACAACCTTAACAGCGGAGGGAACTGGGCAAAATGTCACCATATTCTCAAACTCCTATCTAAGTAAGTTAAAATGTTGGCTGAAAAGAAACTTCTTAAGGTATTAGTAGGTAAGATTTAGTAAGAACATTTTCATCATGACTTCTCTAAGACTTTACAATGGTTTCATATTTTCTTTTACTTACATCTGGAACGTCCCTTAAAACTGACCCTTCCTCCATTCACTCTGTATCTAAGGTCCTCATTATCTTTTCCCTATTATTCAGTAGCTTCCTAACTGGTCTTCCTGCTGTAATGGTCTTTCCATCCCAGTTCACTTCCTACCATAGTGCAACAAATATTTAACAAAACAAAACCTAATTTGGTAATGTTAATCCATGTTTAAAAAAGCTCTCCATAGCCTCTAGGATCAGATGCAAACTCCTTAGCACAGCATAAGGGCCTTGTAGCCTCTGGTTCTTGGCCCACTTTCTAGTCAAGACAATCTTGTCTCCCTTCTCCTTAGGTTCTGGCTACATTAAACTTTTTCATATTCTCTAAACACTTATGACTCTTTCAAACCCAGAGGATTTTTGCCCACATAATTTAATTCTGCCTCAAGTGCCTTTTGCCTTTTCTACTCCTGTTCCTGATTCAAGATTTGGATGAAGTGTCACCTTTTCTGTGAAGCTGTCACTCTCATAGGCTTAAATATCATTCTATTAGAGGATTTATAATTTTCATTGTAATGACTTCTATGTGTTTTTCCCACACTACAGATCAGCCCTTAAAAAACAGGGAGTCGTGTACTCATTTTTACATCTCAGTGTTTAGTTTACCATCTGAAAAACAGTAAGTGCTGAATGAAGATCTAACATATTGTCTGGAGTGACACTCTACCGTGCCTCAATTTTATTTTCTCTTGCAATCTTCTTATTAACTCTTCTAAATGTCCCACAATTTTTTTCCACCTATAATTTCACAAGCCTCACTCTTTTCTGAATTACAACTACATCTAAGTCAGTCACTGTCATGTAGTTTAGCACACTTCTTAATGACTTCAGTTACCTCATGTCTCAACTACACAGCAAATTCCTCAGGATGGCTTAAGGTAATTAAAATAGGTTAAGTAACAAATGCATATAATTATTGATATTTTAATATACTGTGATACCAGCGATATAATCTGATTCTTTAGACAAATTTATATACCTAGAATCTCCAAAGTTCTGCCTTTTTTGTATGTACCTTAATTTGGAGTTTATTACTTTCAAATATATCTTATTTCAGGGCAAAACAGAAAGGTATATAACTGCCCTTGCACTTACCTGGGATTCATGATAAGACGCCGGAAAAAGTAAGTCCAGGTGATATAATCCAATGCATCTTGCTTAGATGTAATTGTACCACCAGCAATCTCTGCATTTAAGTGGTCAGAGAGCACTCCTAATAAACTGTATAGTGAACAAGACATGGGAGACATACAAGAGCATTAAACTGAAAACACTTAAATTTATCTCACATAGTCAAGATTCAGATTTTATGTTCTAAGATAAAAACAAATTTGTTTTATATAACTTAAAATTTAGTATATAATTTTGTATACTTTATAAATAATTCATTCCAAATTATTTAGTGGGAATTTGGTTTCAATGTACTTTAATCATGAGTCTATAAATCACTTAGTATCATGAACTCAGGTGAACCCATATTATTCACCAGTACATATATGTGTTCTCATTTTCTTCTAAAAAAGTATTTTATAATTTTCATTTAAATGTGAATAAAAAGTGGGCTAGAGAGAATGTCACAAAAGTACTATAATAACATTTTTCCAGATTAAGTTAACAGTAGTAGTAATTTGCTCAAAGCAATCACTAGTGTCTGTCACATGGTATGTACTCAATAAATGGCACTTATCACTACCAATCATTTTTGGAAAATAAATTGCTAGATGTAAAATGAATACAAACTGACAAAAAGAAAGCTACTGACTTTCAGGAGATGATGACAGCCACGAGAGGTAGAGTAAGGGCAGGCAACAGAAGGGATATCTTGCAGAGCAAGGAAGAGCACAAGTACGGGGCATGGAGTAAGTATGGAATAAGTACTGAGGCAGATTAAAGGAGAGTTGACATGAAAGAGATGCTATTTAGAACAGAAGAGTGAGCAAATATATTCTCTTCATTAATTTGTATATATTAAAGTCCCTAGTCATATAAGACATTATATATTAGGTGTTGTAGAGTATACAAAGATAATCAGATGTGTTGAAAGACTGGTATAACAAAATGTTCAGCTTAGTTTCTTATGTTAAATATAAAAAAGGAAGCAACGTTCAACAAAAGAAAAAGCTAAGTAAAAATATAATTCATGGAAAAATATGCAGGTATTAAAAATAGTTTTTGCAAAGGACATGAGAAACTGGTTATAATAAGCTAAATTTTAAAAAGTTGCTATGTTAGTCTCAGGTCACTAGTTGCAGACTATAAATTGGTACAGTCAATTTTGAGATCAAATTTGTAATATCTATTTGAACAATCACTATGAACCAGCAATTTCACTTTTTCATTATGATCTGCTAGAGAAACATTTACATGTGAGAATAGGAAAGAAAATCTTTCACTGCAATGTTATACACAAGAGGAGAAAACTGGAAATTCTCTAAGTGTACATTAATAGAGAAATGAATAAACTATGAAATACTATGTAATATATAAAATAATAATGGTCATATCAAGGTACAAAACAAAAAATTAGTTAACTTTTTACTGAAGTATACACAGATAAAATTACATAAATTATATAGGTACAACATAATTAATTCTTACAATTTGAACACAGTTGTGTAATCAACACCAACATCAAGCATTGAAAGTGTCTCAGAAGCCCTCCTGTTGTGCTTTTCTAGTCACTTTCTTCTCAAAAGAGTATTTGGACTTCCATTTATTTTTGCTACCTTACTGCAGTGGTTTGGGCCTGTGGCTCAATGCTTACTGGAAGAAGTGAAAGCAAAATCCCTACATCATTCCCTATCTCAAAGGGAAAGCTTTCAATATCTTCTTATAAATTATGATGCTTGATATAGATTTTTTGTAGATATTCTTTATCAGATTAGAGAATATTCCCTCATACTCCTGCTTGCTAACAGTTTTATTATAAATAGGTATGGAATTTCATCAATTTTTTTACATTTATGAAATGATTATATAATTTTTCTCATTCTTGTTCATATGGTGAATTATATTCACTCATTTTTCAAATAATCATCTTTGCATTTATAGAACAAACTGCATGTAGTAGTAATATATTATCTTTTTATACATTGCTTGATTTGATTAACTATTATCTGTTTAGGAGTTCTACATTTATATTAATGAGAGACGTTTGTTACATTCCCGTCTCGTAAATTTCTTATCAGGTTTTGCTATCCAAGTTGTTCTGGTCTCATAAAACAAGCTGCAAGTATTCTTCCCTTTTCTAAGACTAGGAGGAGATTGTGTACAATTGATGCTATTTCACCCTTAAATGTTATGAAGAATTCACCATTGAAGCTTCTGGGTCAGAAGACTTCTTTCTAAAAGATTTTAAATTTCAGATTCAGTTGCTTTGATAGATGAAAGACTACTTAGATTTTTAAAAGAAATTTTACTATTTGATGTAAATTTTAAACATTATTTGCATTATGTTGTTAATATCCTATTATTACTCCAGTCCGTGGTATTTTTCCATTCCTTATACTTACACTAAAAAATTTATCAATTTTATTCATCCTTCTAAAAGAACCAACTTTTGGTGTTGCTGATTTTTCTCTAGTTATGTTTATTTTCAGTTTATTAATTCTTACTTTTATCTTTATCTTTTTCTTTCTTTGAGTTCAATTCGCTATTTTTTTCCTAAATTCTTGAGATCAGTACTTAGATTACTAATATTTTTTTCTTTTCCTTTTGTTTTTCTGCAGATAGGGTCTCACCCTGTTGCTCAAATTAGAGTGCAGTGGCGTTGCAGCACACCGTACCTCAAACTCCTGGGATCTAGCAATCCTCCTGCTGCCTCAGGACCACATACATGAAACACCATGCCTGGCTAATTTTTTTATTTTTACTTTTTTGTAGAAACAGGATCTATCTATGTTATCCAGGCTGGTCTCAAACTCCTGGCTTCAGGCAATTCTGCCTCAGCCTTCCAAAGTGCTAGGATTACAGGTGAAAGCCACTGTGCCTGGCTGACTTTCTAAGTTTTAAAAATCAACATTATTTGCACTTATAAAAAATTAAAAAGAACCAATAACTATACACAGGATGAATCAGATGTTTTGTCTTCAATGCAGTTAGAATATGGTAAAGGAGATCCAATATATAGAAAAGGACTATGATAAAAGGTAGAAAGTGGTAAGTGTTTATAAGTGAAAAATACAAAAATCTGAGGGAAGAAAGGTTATTTTCAGCTGAGAATACAAGAGAACACTTTGTGAAAGGGGTAGTGGTTACTGGGTCCCAAAAGAGGTACAGGATGATTCTCAAATAAGCCAGCAGCCTAAATCATTAATTACGTGTTCCCTTATTTTGGATATTTATTTATTAACGGTATAACCATACTATGAAAACCCTCACCAAACTAATACTTTATTAAAGGTTTATTATGTGATAGACACTGTTCTAAGCGTTATGCATTTGATCATTATTAATACTCTATGAGATAGCTGGTCTTGCTACCATCTCCATTTTACAATAGGTACAATAAGGCAATAAGGAGTTAACTAACTTGCTCAAGATCAAGCAAGTAAATGGTAGAGCTCAGATTTTCACCCAGGTCATCTGGCTTCATAGCCAATGTGACTGAACACTGTACTATACTGCTTATTTTAAAAAGTTATTTTTAACATTTAAATTATAACTGAATATTGTCATAAAGTGATAATTATATTGTTTCACATTATATTAAATTCTTTTAAGCTACCTGTTTTACTGATTTTTATATAATAAAATATAACCAGAAAAACACTAACTTGTGATGAAATACATCCACTTAAACTAATTTAATTAAGATTTACCTTGATTCTACTGGGAAAGGTTCATAAAGAAATTTTTTATAAAAGTCTTTCTTTATGTCATGAACTAGAATTACAGCTTTGCCTTGGTCATCAAACTGCGGCCTCCCAGCACGCCCCATCATCTGGAGGACATCTTTAAAAGAGAGAACAAAGAGATTTCTACAATGTGGCACAGAGCACAAGGTATATTTACTGATTATGGAAGGCTTCTATAATCAACAAAAGAAACAGATTATTTTCATAATATGTTTGCTATGTTGATGGTTATTACTATATTGAGTTCCCTAAATTAATGTAATTCACTCAGAAAGTTGATAATTAAATAAGCAAGTTACGTAACTATGATGAAAAACTGAGTCCTCGAAAGGGTCTTTCTTAACATTTATAGATTTAAAGATGAAAATTCCCTTTAGTGGAATGCTTTAAAATGTTGTTTAATAGATATTATTTTAATTAAATAAGAAAAAGTAAAAAATAAAATATATATACAAAAATCTTTCCAGCAGAGTCATTTGGTTATTTTCCCCGTGAATAATGAACCAATTTAGGCCTTGTCCTCCCTGCACCCCAGTATAATATTTCTTCCTTTTAGCCTACATAACTCTCTGAGGTAACTAATGATTTAGAAATGATATAGCTTTTACATGCATTCATTTAGTGAAAATATACATTGAGTTTATTTCCCTTTTCAAACTCACTGAAAATGCTTTTATCATGTTTTAAAGTATCTTAATAGAGTCTTCATGCATAAGTTACAGCAACAAACACTTTGGTTCTGGAAATCCCATGGAGGTATCATTTCTAGTGAAATATATTTAAAATTAAGCAAAGTAATACTTACTCATAACTTACGAAGAAACTTCACTACTAGCTCCTAAGAAGTACTTTTATCTATTTATAAATTTGAAACCAACTTTAGTTGCTTGATAATAAGTACTTTAAGCCACTTATTATTTTCCTACTTTTGTGTAAGTAAAAGTAAATACAGCAGCAGTATTTTGTATAATATTTTAACTGGAAACAAAAAGTCTATAATTGCTTATCATCTGTTTAAATGTGACCAATTCTCAAAAGTTTAATTTGTGGAAATTCAAATTATTACTTATTCAAATTCAAATTTACTAAGGGTAAAATAGAGCTTCATGTATTTCTGTGAATTTAAGAAAATTACCTGTAATGGGAAAATCCACATAACGTCTTGTTTTTCCATCATAGTATTCTGTTCCCTTAATAATCACTAAATGAGCTGGAAAGTTTACACCCCAGGCTAATGTGCTTGTAGCAATAAGAACCTAAAAAGCAAAATAAAATATCTTATATTTAAGTAAAATATAACTTTTAAGTTACATTTAAATATGTGTTCATTGGAGGAAAAAAAGTACCTGAACTTTGCAGTTTACAAATAGTTCCTCCACTGTTTTTCGATCCCTCTCATGTAGTCCAGCATGATGCATTCCTATTCCGAAAGCAAGTGTCAGCTTGAGGTTAGAATCTCTTACTGTTGCAATGATGTTCTCCATCTGCAAATAAAAACACAATTACAAGATGGAGATGTATAACTTTAAAATTTTCATATTAAGATTATATTTGATTAATTTTGTTTTTTATGTTATGTGGACATGAAAATATATGTCCCAAGTACAGTTATGATTAAAGTTCAATTAACTGAAAATAATATCTACTTGGTGAGAATATACACTCTAAACACACTAAAGTTTAAAAGTTATTCATCTTATTTTTATGCATCGAGAAAAAATCTGTAGATAAATGGTATGTCCTTTAATGAGTAACAACCATTAAAAAGGATGGAATATTTCAGTGTCTCTGTTCATCTCTTATTATAAAAAACACTGTTTTTGAAGTTCAGTGCCAAAAATTTTGAAAATACAGACCAAAAAATCGTAAAAAATCAGCCATAATCCTTGCAGACAGAAAGAAATTGTTCCAATTTATGCTTTCTTACAGAACTAATCAGCCCTGAACAAGTCACATAAACTTACTGGGCCTGTTTCTTTAACTGTAAATTTGAAATAATAACAGTAATCTTATACATGCATCTAACCTTCCCTAAAGCCCTATAATAGTAAATACTATTATTCATCCTATATGTAAATGTAGTAATGATAAAAGGATACATATACCTATTTAAAAATTGTTTTCCAGAGAGGCACACAACTATAAACATATTAGCATCTCAATGTTACTATATTCTCAAAACTCTATAACTGGTGTATTTTTGTTTACTTCTTATCTTTGATCAATAGTACAGCTAAATGCTTTTTATAATTATTGGCTGTTTTCTTTTATAATTTACCTTTTAATTTTTTAAGTCGATGTGATAATCTTTTTTTTTCTAATTGGCTTGTGATGTTTTTTAATATATTAATGGTATTAACCCCTTGTCCATCATATGCTATAAATATTTTTGCCCCCAGGTTTTTATTTGCACTTCATTTTAATTATGCTTTAAATTTATAGACCTAAAATTGCAAATTGATCTCTTTTTTTTGTTGCTCAGAAAACTTTTCCTAAATATATACATACATACTTCCCCATTTCTTCAACTTCTGTTATAGTTTTATTTTTTAAATTTAAATAATTCTCTTGTAATTTATTTTTGTATAGAAACTATGGTAGAAATCTAAGTTTATTTTTCCTAAATAATTAACCAATTATTCCAGCAATATAGGTAAAATAATTCCTCATCTTACTTTAAACGCTCCATGTATTATATTCACAATTTTTATACATTATAATTTTTACATTTTTAAACATTTCCAGCCTCAGTTTAGCTCACTAAGCTGTCATATGTCTAAATGGTTTTTGAAATTCATGTTGTATAAATGCTCTCTGAATATTCTATCACTTTCCATTCTATATGGAAAATACTTAAACTAACACAAATTTGAAAGAGCAAATCTTATTTTCTTACAAAATTTCTTGTAAAGAACTAAATAGTTGTGGCTGGGTGTAGTGGCTCCAACCTATAATCCCAGCACTTTGGGAGGCCGAGGCGGGTGGATCATGTAAGGTTTGAGGTCAGGAGATCGAGACTAGCCTGGCCAACATGGAGAAATTTCATCTCTATTAAAAATACAAAAATTAGCTGGGCATGGTGGTGCATGCCTGTACCACTAGCTACTCAGGAGGCTGAGACAGGAGAATCACTTGAACCGGGATGTAGAGGTTGCAGCAAGCTTAGATCACGCCAGTGTATTCCAGCCTGGGCAACAGAGCTAGATTCTGTCTCACAAAAAAAGAAGAAGAAAAAAAGAAAGCCCAGTTCCTTTATTTCAGATAGTTCTCTGTCCTTGAAGCAGAGGATAACATAAGGCGCAGTATAAGGAAGTGCTTTCTGGGAAACTCCATGAGGAGAATAATGTAAAGACCAAGTGATCTGAGAAGACACGAGCACTGAAAAGAAGGATACATCTCTAAAGTTTCACCACCACATTCCAACAGTAAGTAACAGGGAAGAAGTAACTTGGAAATAGTAAATGTATAATTTTTATATGCCTAAGATAGAAGTATAAAAAAGTAACAATTTCTTCAGATCTTATTTCCTTTTTTTCTTCTATTAGCACCCTCTAATATATGTACATAAGTATGTTTGCAATACACTTAATATCTTTTCTGTGCATAAATCGGTAAGTAGATCACAAAATCCCCAGCTTAAGAAACTATCGCTGCTGCTGCAGTTTAGTAAAAATGTATGACCAAAATATCCATATAATGAAACATTCCAACTGCTTTGTTGTTCATTTTATTTTCACTAGTCAGAAAAATTTTCTCAGTTTTTTTTAAAGCTGAAGCAAGCTGTTTTACACTTATAATAATCCATAAAATAGGACAATAAAGTTTAGCTTTATAGTAATTACTAATGTATTTAAAAAGTACTATACAAACTAGGTGATATTTTAGTGACATACACATAAGAAATGTTATTTATCAACTTTCACTGAACTGAATGTAATGTATAAATAGTTCATGTCTAAGTAGTTCATTCTGTTTGGCCACCTAGTATTCTTGTATTATCTACTTTATGAACTGTTATGGAGGAATATAGAAATGTATTAATATGAATCCACTTTACCTTAAAATTAGCACAGGATATGTAAGCTGACACAAATGCATGATATAAGGAAAGGTGCTTGTCTAGTCTCATAAACTACATGTTAGGTATTCTCATTTGACAACTTATTACCCATTTTTTGTTCAATAGTTCACAGCATAAAATATCTTCAATTTACACTACAAGAAACTAATTCACTGGTGTCCTTGTTCTAATAATTAGTTTGAGAAATTTTTTTTTCACTTTTAAACTTACATAAGTATAACTTGTGTAATTTATGGTGCCCCATGGCAATGCCAATCACACCCAAACAGTAATGTATCATTTGCCATAGGAAAGCTAAAGAATCCTGTGGCAGAAGGTCTGGTGAGGCATTAATATCCTGTCTTTTGCACCAGGGAAGGCTAACTGTTTCTCAATCTTCTAGCCCCCACTTTCACATAAATCAATGCAGTAAAGAGAGCTACTTGCTTATCCCAACAGGCAAAGACTTAACATCCTCATGAAGACAATCACACACACGCACAACTTCATTTATTACATGGTTTCTCTGGATGAATTCCAAATTATTTGAACATCATAAAAAGCAAAATTTACAGCTGTTAATCATTAAGCACAAAATACTACTAGGACGGCCTATACAAATTTGAAAATATAATTTTTTGGATTATATACATCTTTGTTACTGCACTTAAAAATAAGTTTCATCTTGATCAAAACATCATAAGACAAGCAAAAGTATTCAGAAACTCAGGATAATTAAAGTTTAAAACATAATAATAGATATAATTTGTTGAGCACTTATAATATGCCAGGCATTGTGTTTATCACTTTACAAAGATTATCACATTTAATCCTTTATATAAAGTAATATAGTCCTAATATAACACTCAATTCATTTATACAACTGAGTATATTTCAAATAGAAAGATCCAGTGATTTTGAATAATGAAGAATATACTTTCTTAGCCCTGGTTCCATCCGAGAATTAACCCCCATAAAAAATACTTGGGTTACCATCTTCTCAATTTTTCCAGTGACAGCTAGTACCTTTCTAGATGGAGAGGAGACAAGTTTATTTTATACATCAAACGGATACCTTACTACATTAAGGCTTAATTCTTGTTAAGAAGGGCTGCTATAGAACTAAAAAAAAAAAAACAAAAAAAACCCAAAAAAACATGATACAGAAAGTTTTACTTTCATAGTTCATTTTTTTTCAACTAATATTTGTTGTAATGCATTGGTATCTTTCCAATAAACAGCCTTTGAAATATGTCTGACCACTTGATTATTAAAAAAATTATTCAATATTATACATAAAAGAAAAACAGATCTATGTTATTCTAGGTAGTGATCTTTTTCTTAAGGTTGTGGGGAGGAGGCACATATGTAAACTGTGGAACCATTTACTTTAACTTAATAGAATTTTTTTACATTTTATATTTATTATACTCAAAAGCTTTTGTAGAAAGATAGATTCCATTTAAGTAGATACATTACTCTGTGCCTGAAATACATTCCAGTCAGAATATAATTCAGTGAGTTGATGACAACGTTGGCTCCAAAAGAAAGGAGGAGACCAGATTGGACAAGAATGAGCTAACAGATTGTGCAGCCTGATTCTGTCCTTTTGAGTGTGATATATTGTTTCAAGATGCTAAAACCCGTACTTTCTCAAAGCGTATCTGTTGTGCTGGTTTTCTCATTTTCACAGAATCCTCATTATCAGAACTCTATACTCTTTTCAAAGCATGTCAGACTCAGACCATATGCCACTGAATAATGCTTACCAATTGTCTAAAATGCTCAATAAAAGATGTACCACAGAAGAATCATAAAAGTTACAAAGAGTTTTTTTAAAATAAAATAATTAAATCTATCGTATCTGGTACAGATGTTAAATGAAATGAAAACATTTCCTTATAATCACCAAATGTTAATTTCTTTTAATACAAGTCTATATGATAAACCCCATACACTGAAGGAAGAAAAACAATGAAACATTTTAGAGCATTCTACTGATACACTAATAAAAAAGAATTCAAGAAATAAATGAATTAAAAAGAACAGTTTCTAAACTTTATCAATACTCCCAAAATTTATACTCCCTTGCTCTAACACTCAAAGACAAGCATACTTCAAAATGACTAATCATACTTTCAACATATAAATATATTTATATGTGATTAAATTACATGTGAAGTAAATATGTAAGTTAAATGTAAATTAAATGTACAAATGAAACATAGACAATAACAGCTAAATCTTTGCTATTTTTCCAAATAAACACAATATTATCTTTCCCTCTTTTTTTTTTTTTTTAGGAAAGCATGCTTACATTTGTCTTAAAATATTTTTTGAGGGAGGGGTACAAGCAGAATCTTATTACATGTCTAGATTGCATAGTGGTCAAGTCAGGGCTTTCAGGGTACCCATTACCTGAAT